CTCTTTGACTTTTTTCTTTCTCTGAGCTTTTGAAGCTCGGCTCTTCGCTCCTGTATCGTTCTAATGGCGTTATCGTAAAGGTCTGAAAGTTGTTCAATCACGTTGTATAATATTCTGATTTCTCTATAAACCCATTCAAATCTAAACCGAGCAGTGTGTCAGACTTATTAGGGTCCCATTATGCTTATGCTTATCCCACAGAGTTTTATTTCAACTAATGTAATGTACTAACCGGCAGCTTCCCACATCATTTTGGCAATATCTCGCTTGGGCACAGGCCTGCAAAGTTGACATGAATTAGCAGAGAAGAAGCGCTATCATCAGGTCAGCGCCAGCTCAGGATCAGATCATTCGTATATTCGCAAACGCGAGTGGCAAGCGTCTCTCATGGAACTGAAGTCTCTTCTCCACCGATTTTCAGTCCCAAACCTTACGGGAAAGGAAGCCGATGAAACACAGCGACCAAAGTGATCCTGGCACCATCCTCTGCGAGTACTTCTACTCCGTCAGCAGTTATTGGAGTCATATTTTTCTTTTGGAAATCACCATTCTCTTCACTTCATTCCTCGCCTAGTGTTGTTCAGTACCGCAGTTATGGCATTCCAAACACGTTGCTTGGACGTGTAGGTCCGCATCAAACACATGCTATCTAGCCATTTGCTTCATGCGTAAACGTTCCAGTCAGGACCCACGGCCGGAATACTGTCAGAGCCAGATGGTAGTCCTGAGGATTCGTTATTGTGGACTCAATAACGTTGATACCAGCCTTCCATGAACTTTCTCGAAGAAGACTCTATCTCTCTCTCTCTTCCCTTCCATGTCCTCCCCTTCTCCCTATCCCTCTCCTTCTCATTATCTTGCAGGAAAACATTATTGCAGGTTCGAGTTTGTCGCTACACATTGGCCATGTGAAACATACTTGAGGATCCCAGCAATACTATCCAGTAGCTGTGGTTTCTTCTCTGGTTCCACACCTGTCTCTGTATCAGAGACTACAGTCTGAAATCGACTGCTTGCATTTTCGTCGGTAAGGCAAAAGTGTCGGGAGCTCACCTCATTTCCGTCTTCAAACGAAGAGCCAGTGTTCTGACCAAAATACATTGTTCCTCTGCTCATGTACGTGTTCTGGGGTAGGCTGCGGCTTGGAACAATGCTCGGTAACGCTTCGCTGGGTGGACTTGTAATTTGTTCTGTTGTCTGTTTTAGATTCGCTGAAAAGAAGGGCCTCAGCCGGGATCTACCGCCTGTGAGGGCCGTCCTCGAACTTTGATGAAAGCCGCCGGCCTTACCCGTACTTATGGCAGGCGGTGGATTGGCAACCGCTGGTTGACATGACCGATGTGCTCTGAAAACTTTTTCGATAAGGAGTTCCGTAAGGTGGAGATAATGATTGAGGGATGACGGGGTAGTCCGAAAAGACATGCAGCGCTTCGAGACAACTATATAGGAATGACTGCACGCTGCTCGTAAATCTGTACTACACTATAGCAAAGCAGTAGAGTGATGGGATAGACAAAGCAGATACGGTGACACCAATTATTGAATTTTCAAAAACTCCAATTTTATCGTGACTGGACCTTGCTACGTATCCTCAATCAAAACAAAACAAAAGAAACGATAAGAGAAGGATGGTCAAGAGAAAAAGGAGCAAGAGAGGGAGAAGCGCCTTTTCGAGGGAATTGAAGAAGCTGGGTCGTAGACAAAACACGATTTTAAAAACAAGATGTCGACAGAAATTGAAGAAAATTCGACATATGACACTACTAGGGGAGGTGAGATTCTGTGGCAGCGGAAAGTGAGCGCGGGTTGCGTATTGACCGGGAGCCCCATCGACTCAAGGGTGATCACGATCGGTCAGTGTGCTAATGATAGTCTGATAAGAGGTAAATGATATAAAACATCATTCTCAATGTTTTCTGGTGGGTTTCATTTCGTTTTAGCGTTGCCAGGGATGCGTACGGCCGGATCAAAGACTGAGTCTATTCCTAAAGCCATTAGCCTTCATCGAACATCGGTCAAGAGGGAGGGACTAGGCTTTCTCTAAGTGGAAACCTAGAGTAATGAAGGTCATTTCCTGAAGTTGCTCACCTTGACGTTTACCTACGAGGAATTTGAGTAACAGACTCTCCGTAGGCATGTACCTAACAACTAACGGTAGCCCATGCGGCGGGACAACTTACTAAGAAAGGTCTCCCGGATGAACTTTCAGTGCTGAACTTCAACAGATCCCAATGACTGAAACTGCTGAAGGGCCGCCCTGAATAACAGCAGGTAGGTGAGGAAAAAAATTGCCGGCGGAAAATTGTATCCCTAACCAGTAGTGAACACTTACTGGGGAAGAGGTTGTGATCGCTGGTAGGCTGGTTGGAATGGATTGGCATTCGGATTGAGTTGCGATGAGCGCGTTGATGGTGGCCAAACCATAGGCATTTTCGCAGATACCTGCAAGGTCCATCGATGGAGATTGTGCTTTCGTCCTCCAATTCCTTTATGATGATTACCACTCACCGTATTCGTCACAAACAAGTCCTCTACAGCTACACGAGTATACGTCGTTGTTGGACTTGTCCAGTTATTCGAATGGAATCCAGTATAAGTTGGAGCAAGTGGTGGTGGTGGTGGCGGTGGGGGAGGTAAAGGGAGAGNAATTGTGGAAGACAAGGTGGTGGGGGAACGAATCCCGTCGGATTGGGAGTTGGAGCTAGTGGAAGGTACACACCTGACAGGGGAAAGGTTTGCTGCGGTGATGTCGACATCTCTGTTTATCCGGAAAGAGTTTCCATTGTGACAGCCTCACTTTGATAACGAATTCACTCACTTTGTTCTATACAGCCTACCACCCGCCTAGGTCAACTGCAGAATGAACTGAACTCATCCTTCCGACGAGCCTTATGTTGACGTCTGTTAGCAGTCAAATCATTCCATCGTATTGCTCATGCCTTATTATGGTCCCAGACGAGTATGTAGTGGTAGTCCCGATCTCATGATAGCGCGCGGCGATTCCTACCTAGTTGTCCTCGCTTTAGGGCGCGCTTTTTGGGATCATCGCCCATCTCAAGCGGCAAGGCAGGAACGGCTATTCTCCTAATCGACATCGATGACATCTTCCAGAGCAATGCGGGACAGCAACGGGGGTGGGGACAAAGAATGACATTTTCTTCGTTTCACATTCTTTTTGTGCAAGGACCAATCTCCTTACCATATTACTTTGCTCCTTCTGTAGTATGAAGTTTCTGAAGATGAGCAACTAACTCGTCATCTGATTAGTCTCGTCACTTCCTTGTTGCTGGTGATAACACTGGGTGTAAGCATAGAGGCTTTCCACTATCAACCACCTTTTGCCGCCATACTTCCATCAGTGAGGGGTGGTTGAGACCCCAATGACAAATCCCCGACTGAGGAGGCTTTTGAGGCAATACTCTGATCTTCCCATGGAATCGTGGTTGGTGACGGTAACAGGTATAGCTCATATGAGATATTGCTGTGTACAAGAGAGAGATCTTTCTGCGAACATAAAGTAAATTAATGAGGAGAGGACCATAAATTTGGGACCACCAAGAGTGCAGAGGAAAACATTTCGAGTTCATCCACCCCTCCTTCCTCCTCGCCCCTAACAGGCGCAGTATCGCAGACATTCTACTAATTGTAAGACCAAGTTATTTAGGTACTGTACTGAAGAGCTTGTCAAAGTGATTCAGCTTTGTAAACTGTGTGTGATAAAGCGTGTTCAAATCTAGTCCCACAGCTCTTCACCCGTACTCAGACATGCTTTCTGTTAGTAGCAGTTGGCTCCAGTGAATGCTCGTCTATACAGTGAAGGGAGAGTACGGTAAATGATCGCAGGGTCCCTTCCAGTTCTGCGAAAATCACGTTATGGAACCTCCTCGAATCGGCTTACCGGTTGAAACCCTCCACCCCACCCGCTGAGGCCAGACAGCTTACCACCGATAACTGATGGTTGGTGAGGATCACTTCCAAATCGCGGTTGAGCTCGTCCATTGAAGCAATTTTCAAGGACTCTGCGGTAAGCGCCTGGTGTCTGCATGGGATTAGGCAGAGGCGAGTCATCACCGCGGATACTTCGAAAAGATGCTTTGGGGCAGCTCAGGCTTCCTGCTTTCAGTGAGGAATGTTTTAACCCTGAGTCATTCTATCCGATCCGCTAACAGTGCACTGCTTTTCATAGCTAGTTGCCTCGCCGTATTCCATGTCTTATTGTTAGTCGCTGTACTGTCTAGTTGTCCTGCCCGCAGCATGTCCTCGGTTATGGACTTAGTCACCCAGCTCGACCTCGCTTGGGAAACCATTTATATAAGCCAATCAGTATATTCTTACCAATTTATCAAATTTTTGTCTGGATTGGTGGTCCGTGACCAAAATACTGAAGTAATATCCCCGCTGAAGAGGATAAGTGACGGTTCATTGCAGATTTCGCACCTTCCAGAAGGCGGCAACGATCAGCTGAAAACCATCCGACGGCTACCACATCGACGGAAGATCCTGGTCTCGGAACATCTCCTTCCCACAGGCTTCCACCAGAAGTACAACTGAAAATACTTGAACAAGTAAGCATCTTCGGGAAGGGTTACTTGTATTTTGCACGACCGATTCTTCGAATTCCCTAAGCGACATGAATCATGATAAATCAGCTAATCGATACTTCCCTAGTATCAGTGTTGATAAGGAATGTAATTGTAATTAACCAAGAGAATGTAATTTTTACTAAGCCCAAAGTGGGGAGGAGCACCGGGATGGGTGAGATGTAAAGGGCACCATTCAACGCTATTGACCCGTTCAGGGCCGTAGGATTCGATGGAACCCTTGCACAACCTTTACATATAGGGCATTTTTCCTTTTACGTCTTCGCATTTTCCAGTCATACATGGTTTAAGCAGTGGCTTGAAAATATAAGTGCTCAGCATGGCACAAACTAGCCACACCAGGAGTCACAACGTGAGATTCGTAGATTCGTTCGCCTTGAAAAGGTACAGGGAAATGGTTTGAGAGGAGGAGCAAATCAGAACGGAAAAATGGAGTAAATGAGAAACCATATGCGTACTGATTCGTCACATAAAAGGGAAGCAAATGGAGAAGGAACTCCCATGCAAAAAAGCAGAGCGATAGCAGACAGCATCACCAAAGGTGGCTCTATCTCGCCTTCGCGCAGTCCACCTAACATCTTGAAAGCATGGGAGAGAAAAAGCATACAGCCGATTGGAAATGAGTAAGCTTTCTATTCAAAAAAAGTGAAAACCCAGCGAGAACATCTTAAGAAATTATCTAAGTGACTCGAGTCGTCATATCTTTCTTCAAAGAAATTCGTCTGCATCCTCCTCTGGGGCTGACCAGCAACTGTTTTTTTCAGGAAAGAAACAAGCGTTGATGAGCGGTGTGTTTCAGGTAAAAGAAAGAATTTATATATAAAAATATAAAAAATAGGGAAAAAAATTGGGATAGGCCCAAGAAACGCCGCATATCGAGCCGCCTCGCTCATGTCTTTTCCCGCCTTTATCGACCACCCATCTGGCCTTGGAGCTATTTTGCCATGCCACAATTCACTTATCTAATAAAGGTATTGATAACAAAACAACATATCAACATAAACAAAGTGGAAGTTGGTATTTCAACACATACGGAACGTGAGCAAGCCCTGACCCCATCCACTCAAAAGTTGTGAATGGTATATTCACATTCATTCATATGCACGTGAAGTTCCATAGCTTGGAGCTAATTTTGTCGAGCAAGACAAAGCTATACTTTACCTTTAGAACTGAACCGTAGAAATTTGTAAGGCTCAAAAAATTCAATAAAAAGCTGGTCCCAAAAGCCCCGCATGGCGCATTGCGCATCCAGAATAGGACCTTTCATAAGCGTATCAATCTGAGCGCAGACCATGTCTATAGACTGGATGGTTTGAATCTATAGTACGACCAACTTCAAGTAATATGAACTGATTTTGATGAATAGACGCTAACTCCATCCCCATCATGCAGTTTTTCACCCTTTCCCACATTTACAGCTTCCAAATGCTATTACGAGAACCAAGCTTCTTTTGTTTGACTGGTAGACGATCCGAGGCAATGTTCATGAGTGGAAAATCAATTTATACCGATAACAAATGAAGGGTGGAGGTGATTTAGTGGCAGAGGGAGTTGCGTCTTGCGGTCGAACTGCCTTGGCTTGAATCCCTCGAATGGGCATCGCACCGGGACACACATCTTGCGGGGGCGAATACATCGGCTGAGCCGATTTCGGGTCCCTTACTACGTCCTATCCAGATCGTTTTTCACCCCGACAGAATCCTTTGTGCTATCTCTAGGAGTTCACTGGTTCATCCTAAGNTTTGTAATTGTTTATTGTTTACCACATGAGGTATTGATAAAAACGAGGTAATTCATATGGTGCTTACCTTATGTAATAAGTAAATAAATAAATACATGTGTATGTACATTATCAAAACTAGAACATCTTTCTTACTTTCCCTACAACGATCCTGAGAAAGATAAATAGGGCTTCCTACTTCTATATGAAACCTACATCTACAAGACCGTTAAGGACCTGAGCATAAGTACAACAATACGATAACGGAAATTTGTAAACGAGAATAGTGCTATGGCCGAAAAATTTTTGACAAAAATAAAATACGTAGTAGCAGTTGTGAAACGACAAAATATCAGCATTTTCTAACTACCGGTTAGAAAAAAACATCAACAACAGAAATGAAATATATACAAAGTCAAGTTTTTTTGTATTTACGTCCACTACCGTCTGTGAAGGCATCTATTCTCGTACCAAGGACAAAAACGAAACAAAAAGTTCCTTTGTGATTCGTCACGATCCGCTAGCATTCCTATGCAGTAGGAACGGTAGTACTCCTTGTTTCCAAAACAAAATTCCTCTGCTTTAGTGAGTTTACGAGGTTCACGTCTCTGAATAACACTTATCAACAGAGTAATCAGCTTTCTGATAAAAAAGCTCGTTTTATTCCAACATATAGAAGTTTTGCAGTATGGTATAGTAGTGTTACGCCCTATTCCATCTAGCTCATGCCACTTTAGGCACCAGTTTTTAGAGGGGCCTTTAGACTTGGTGTAAAAAGGGTTTCTAGAACTTGGTCGATAGGTTGTGAGAACCCTATCTATCATACCGGCGGTCACAGCTCAATGCTTGCCTGATCAGCAAGAATAAGCATTAAGAACGAGCGCAAACAATCCATACAGCACAAAACTCCAAATACTTACTGTCTGTATTCCACCTCCTCGAATTCTGGATTTCGTTTCAGATCCAGGCAAAATCCCCACAAACTCACCAGAGGATACATCTGCTCTTACGTCTGTAAAAATGGATGATACTTTTGTACTATACCTCAACCCTAATAAGTGGAAAAGTCTTTCGAGAGCCCACCAAGATTTCGGACTCCAATCAAATGATCCGTCTTCTGCTCATTCACTGCTATGAAAGATGCGTCAGGGATCGCTGGTATGACACCGATAAGAGCTTCTGCTGGGAAGGAGGATGCCAGTCCTAGAAATATGGCATTACAAAACGTTTTGTTTCCATTTACCAAAAAGCTTTTCAAAAACCACTAGAAAGTTCATTTTGCTCTAATTAAGGAACTGAAAACCTGAAAACTGAATAGGAAAGCCCATCACTCACGTATTCCATATGTACATATCAACAATATCAGAGTAGACCCCATTGTTGAAGACAGCAGAGTGACAGCTAGCCTTTTATGCGCCATTGCAACGCGACATTACAACACACCTCGTCACTCCCTTGAAAATATTTTCAAAGCAGAGCACCGGAATAACGGGTCTAGCCGTCGATCAAAACATTTGCAAAAGCATTAAAGTAATCCATTGTGACGGATAAGTGCGAAAAATTTCGTAGCCACCCGTGCAGTATAGGGATAGTGCAAAGCGAAGATTGACCACTCCGTCTTGCATACTCTCTGACATTCCCGTATGCCATGGTAGTTTATATCTCTAGGAACCTTATTTGGCACGTGTTCATGATTTATGATTGTGATTACTTGATTACCAGCAATCCAGTAGCATTTCAACACACGACATTGGCGATTCGGAACAGGTTCTAGTAACTATAAAAATAAAATGCATCAACTAAAGTAACTTGCTCTATTGAACACCATCGAGCACAAAATTTCCCCCATCGACATTTTATCCTACAATTGCCTTTAACTTACTTCCTACTACGGCTATTCCATGGACAGCGAAATAGCTTATGTTGCACTCCATAGTACTCCATACTCCATAGACTCCCGAAATTTTCGAAGGATGCTTTACCCGAACTGAGGCAACTGTCTGGCTACTTTTATAGTCCTCGATTTGACCCGCGAGCGACCGACCGACCGATCGAGCGAAAGATCGAGCGATTGGTGCGGCGCCTGAACCTTGATTACAACTGAATCTTGGTCGATACCGCGGGCAAGCGCTGCCCCGCTCCCTCGGCCAAATCGTGGACTATGAAAGCAGCCCCTCATTCCGTACTGTTTGGGCAGAGAGAAACCGTCGGCCGTTATTGGAGCAAGACATGGACGCTACCCTTTCGGAGGAACGAGATACTGACCACTTATATGACGATAGCGATAATATATGACGCAATCCTGTGCACAATGTTTACCGAGAAGCAAAAGCTAAAATGTGAAGACTTCTAGAAGGGACCAACCCGGTTTCGAAAAAGCGAGCAGAATCGAAGCACATTATTTACAAAGGGGGTCATCCATCACAAGGAAGGGGGACACGTAGTCAATTCACGGCTGACTACCCGCCACCAAAGTATCAACGCTATTGTATACTTTAAAAGCGATGGGTCAATTTTTAACTTCCACTGCTAGAGTGTATCCCAAATCTTGCACGCATGTTTGCTCAGAAAAGGAAGTATGAACTTTGACGATTCAATAAACACTCGACAAATCTTAAAAGAAAAAAACTAATATGTTGCTGATGGCCGATTTTGATCTAAGGTTAATCTAGGCTCATAAGACCACCTACCAGCAGTCTGTTCAATTCCAGTCGGGTGTCCCGACTCGTTCCCACATTACCAACTAAGGCACCGTAGACATTTGGAGGCACTCATGTGGCGACAATGCATACGGGAGAGATAGTCTGGCTCACTTTCACGCTGTCAGTCATCGAACTGAAAAGCGATCACAACTGCAAGGTTGACGCCGTTCAACGTCAATGAATGCAGGTGATTAAATTTGAAATCACTCAATCTCAAATCGATTGTGAAAATCGCTTTCAAGATCAATTCGATCAAATCATGAAAAAACAACACATCTCAAGAGAAAATCTTTATAAATAATCATCATAATTATACACGTATAAAGTGAGACGTTGCCCAATACAGAAAAAAAATCAACAGTCGGCACTTAATATTGCAGTCCATGCCTGAAACAGGGACGTGGAGACCTAGTGTACCGCACACTATCACAAAAGTATTGCTGTCTCGATATACCCACGAGATGGAAACCTACAGTATGCTGCACACTATCACAAACATCGCTGTCCGCTCACAACCAAACACGGTGAATGACAGACTCATCGAATCATTCACCAAATCCACGAGAAACAAGTAAGTTCAATAAAAACGGCTGGACCAGAATCAACAAAATAATTCATTCAAAGCTCTTCCTTCTTCTGGAATGATTTAACCGCATGCTTTTCCAAAAACTTGATGAGATTCTCTGGATCGCGACTGCCTTCGTATTTAATAGGAGTCGACTAAAATGACAATTACTAAGGGAACAAAACTTTACTCTAAACACAGGAAACATACCTTCTTCCCACTGGGTGCAAAGAAGATAGTTGGGAATCCTTCTACAGGGTACGCCTGGGGAGCATCGTTGGCGGTTGCATCAAACTTTGCAACAATAAGGTTTGGCTGCGTCTTCTTCAGTTTGGCCGCTAGCTCTTTATATTTTGGTTCAAAGGCCTAGAATCGTGTATGAAGATAAACTGTGCAAGAAGGTACCACTCAAAGTGGAAATAGGGACAATACCTTGCAGTGACCACACCAAGGAGCGTAGAATTCGATGAGGACATCTTTAGTCTCATCACCGACCACCTGAATGTAAGGGATCATTATCAAATAAGTACTGTAAAACATAAATCGTGACATTCAAATCATCTAATGGCCATGATTTTTACTCACTTTATCGAAAGTCGATGCGACTAGTGCCTTTACAGGACCCTTATCATCTCGCGGCACAGGAGCTGACTTAACAAATGGTTTGATCTTTCCTAGAATGAGAGTTCATTAGCTCGGACGATTCGATCGCTCCTCTGGCGAGAAAGTGTAAGATGTCATAGAAGAGCCAGTCCAGACGGCTGACAGCCAATTAAATCTCACCAGCGCTTATTTTCTTCATAAACTCTTCCAAATTCTCATCGAAATCTCCATCGAACTCGTTAGGATCCATGGGATATTTTTTACCGTCGTATCCAAATACTACGACGTTGTGCTCAAGCCCAGAATCACCTGAAGGATCATGGAATATCTTAAAAACTTAATCGCATAAGCATGAACCTCCATTACAACCCTACCTAATCCAACATTTTGCAATTCGTCCTGAAACTCTTCTTCATCGGCCACTGCAAAGCGATATTTATCCTTTTGGTACTGAAAATACATAAATGGGAGATCACTGAATGGTGTCCTGAGGACGACCGAGGCCGTCTTAATTTCCACATAATTTAAGTAGCAGGGGAGCAAAAATACCTTCTGAGCAACATTCAGAACTTTCTGACGCCAGTACTCGCTGCCCTCCCTGTATTGTAACGAGAAATCAGCATTATAGTAGACAACCACCAGAGGGAACTTGTTGTATCGATTTGCCACATTGTCCTAACAAATAATATCATACATATACATACATAAATAATAATAAACAAATATATTAAATATAAATAAATATATGCATAGTATATATATATACATAAATAAATAAGTAATAATATCATACATATACAATCTGAGGAAATATTGGAAAAAATCTACCTACCCTAGTTCTCTTGCCAACAAGTGGTGTGCAGTGGTCGCGGAAGAATGCAGACAGTTCTTCTGCTGTAGCGCCAGCCTCAAAAAAGGAACACTTTGAAATAATTTATGAAAGAAATCGGGAACAGTCTTACCTTGTTGAATGTCCTAGTTTTGGGCTCAAATTTGCTGTGGAAAATACTCGGGTAAAAGATGATGATATCATTAGGCTTTGCGTCGAATTTCTTGAAAGCCTTGGCGTCCGTTGTATAACCCATAGACTTGAAATCCTAGATAAACAACATATTAGCTCAAAAGTTGTGAAGCCAGCTCGTTGGCGATCGCAAACCTCTCGTAGCATCTCTGCAGCATCACTATAAGCTTCGAATGCTGTTGAATCTTCGCTGACAAAGAAGGCCACTATTGTAACGTCTTCCTCTTCCATGAATCTAGAAAGTATTAGATTAGAGTTAATATTATAACGAGCTACGGATCTCTTTCTGAAGGATCTTCACCCGGTGGCTACGAGGCTGCGTGGAGCTAACGCAGGCGGCGTATAGCACAGTAATCGCGCACCAAAAGTCACCGGTACAATCCAGAGACGCAGACGGATTCGAGGTAATATACTTTCTGTTTCTGCTATGCAGGGTCAGTTTATACCTTCTGTATCCTCGCAGGAGCATCTATGCATGCGTGCGTGGAAAACCTGCGGATGAGGTTGGTATCCTGCACATTTTCTCGGCCAAAAGCTTCTATTTAAGTGACAGGATAATAACAGATAGGCGATATGGGGCAGCCCCAAAATCTAAGCCTCTTGTCTACCCTGGATAGCCTGGTCAGCTGAAGGTTAGAAAGCCTACAACACGGCAGCGTTGGGTAGGACCGCTCGGGAAAGGCTGCTAAAACTCACCCTCTCCACGTGGAAAACTAGCAAGATTGTGCTGTTGTACAGGAAGGGAGATGCCGACGATATTGGCAACTATCGCTCAATATGCCTGATGTCTGTAATCTACAAGCTTTTCACACGCGTCATCCTGAACAGGATTGGCAGAATATTTGATGAGGGACAACCATGCGAGCAGCAGTTTCGTAGAGGGTACAGCCGCCTTACATTCACCGATTTGAAGAAGGCCTTTGATACTACTGGGACAAAGCGGTAACCAAAGCTCTGGGCAACCAGGATGTTTCCACCTGATACCTAAGGATGCTTTAGGAGCTCTACCACAGCTTCACTACCAGGGTTTCGCCGTTCTACAAGGAAGCAAGTGAAGAGAGGGATCCGGCAGGGCGACACCATTTCGCCCAAACTTTTCAGTGCCGCTCTCAATACATCATACGCTATTTGGAATGAAAAGTCTTGGGAGTTAAGGTCGAGAACCGCTATTGACAGCACCTCCACTTCGCAGATTCGTAGTTATAACACCGATATCGAGTAGGCGGAACGAATGCTGGCAGAAATCAACAGCGCTTGTTGCGAGATCGGCTCGAGACTGAACTTCACAAAGACATGCTCCTGAGTAATGTAGGGGTACCTGATGCTCATTTCCAACGAACATCTTTGAAAGCTTTAGTTACGCGTATCTAGATCGAGAAGTCAATATGATTAAGTACTTCAAACCGGAGCTGAGCAGAAGGAGATGCTCGGCGTGGGGAGCATTTGAGAATATCAAAGGAGTAGTGAAGCATACAAAAAAAAAACATCCAGCTTCGCTCTCACTTCCTGGATACTGCGGTCCTTCCTGCTTCAACGTACGCCTCGGCGACTTGACTCCTTCAAAGCGGGATGAGCATGCTGTCAGCGTCATTCAATGGGCCAGAGAGAAAGTGATGCGCAGAATTTCCCTGTAGCACAAGCAGAATGGAATCTAGTGATCGGAGCTTTGTGAATGACCGAATGAAAATTAGGGATGCCTTGCTTCGGTCATGGCACCTTATGCGATAGAGTAATGACTGCTGCACAAGGGCAGTTACTGACTGGATCCCTCGGGACGACAAACCAACACCATGACGGGACCATTCATCATATTATGAAACGATGTGGAGGGATTAGTCAAAAAGAGCTACAGGTTGGAGAACCATTTCGCACATATCGTTTATGTTATAAATGGCCTCTGTGGATTATGATCCTTGAGAATCGATCACAGAAGGAATAGATGAGGAAATTGCCCTCCACACCCCAATCTGCGTCTTTTTATTGTTAGGAAATGAGCATAAAAAAATAACCAACATAACCAAGCAAACTTGGAAACTTACCTATCTATTGATTTGGCGTCCGTAAGTTTTTTAGCCGCTGGTTTGGCTAACTCTTTCATGTGACTGACGATTCCGTAAGAGTCACGAGGGCCTTTGTACTCAGATCTTAAAAACATGAATTGCCAAAATTTTAGAAAATAAATTAAAAACAAGATAACTTATACACAACCTTTTTCCATGGCGCATGACCATGAGCGTGGGGTAGCCGCTGACACCGTATTTTGAAGCCAATTCTTTTTCGGCATCAGCGTTGACTTTTACAAGCTTGATCGGACTACCCTCATCCTGAAAATAGGATGTTCCAATTTGTTGAAGAAGACTCCCTAAGCACGATTTCTGTATCTATAGAATCCGAATTGAGATTGAAAAAACTGCCAAGATATTACTAACCCTGAGCTTTTTTGCCGCCTTCTCGTAGTCAGGAGCCAATTTCTTGCAGTGGCCGCACCTAGAATCACGCAAAATTTAACATACAACATTAAATTAGAGAAAAAAAAAGATAAATAGTTTAGCAAAATACCATGGAGCGTAGAACTCGACAAGGCAGAGCGCTTGCTCGCTCACGAATTCGGAGAAGTTGGCAGAGGTGAGAGTGACTACGGCTTCCGGAGGTGGCTTGAAGTTCGGATCGGTTCGAGACTTGATCCAATCGATGATCTCTTTAACGGCACTTTCAGGTATGCTAGTCAGACTTCAAAGCTATCAGTTTGGTATGGAAAGCAGAAGCTTGATGAGATTCTAGGTGTTTTGGGTAGAATTCCTGAGAGAAAAACACGATTACCTTGCAAATCTCTTCCACCATCATATTCTTCTGGTCCTTTTCCATCTTTCCAAAACTTTAACGTTGGATAACCACGAATCTCGTATCGCTCAGACAACTCCTTTTCTGTCTCCGCATTAATCTTCACCAGAGGGATTTTCACCAGAGAAGCGACCTTTGCATAAACTGGGGCTAACTTCTTGCAATGATAGCATCTGAATGAAACGGTCAGTACACCCCTAGCAGTTCAATAAATTGTGACAAGTGAGAACTCAAAAATTTATCAAAAAGGAGCACAAAAAATTAGTTAAGTGATAGCAAAGTTTTTCGCTGTAAAAAATTCACTTCTGTATTCACCAGAAATTCACATACATATAAAATTTAAAAGGGGTTCATCAATGAAATGGAACATTCGTTTTTCACAATCAACCTTTCAAGAGCTTCCCGAAGATTCCAGCTCAAAATATCTTAAACGTGGATAATTGTGCATGGGTCCCTTTGGGGCTATTCCTGCATCATATTCACGAAATAGTGGTGAATCTTAGCCTGGCAACCCAGTAAAAATATGGATAGCTGATAAATTTAAATAGTACTTACCCAGGCGAATAGAATTTTGCAAGGAATGTTGGGTTCGTTCTCAGAAAGGCATCAAAGTTGCTATCAGTCAAGACGTAGACGCCATCTTCCTTCTCAAATTCCTCGTCTCCGGATGCAAGATTAAAGAGGATCAGGAAAGCCGCCAGTGGGAGCCACATAGTGCTGAAAAACTCGAAGAACTCCAGTAACAATGAGCAGCATTTTCATCAGTCAAACAGTATTGGCGAGCTCATGTCTAGTACAATAGCGAAAGCATACAGATAAACAAATTCGCTCAATTTTTAGGACAATACTTCTGAAAAAAGTTGACTTGGAGATAGTTCTGTGGAAACAGAACACGAGAGCTAGTTAATCTTGGGTGGGGAAGCAACAAAAACCTCACTCAGGCTCGGAATCTTTCGTTCAAATTTCGACTCTTTGAAGTTATTTCAAAAGCGTTCAGATGGATACACCTCATCTAAAGGTTACAAAGGAAAAAACAGATCAAAGGACTACGTGGAGCCATGAGAGCCTCATGTCCCTTAACCTTAAAGACCCTCAACTAGGCTAAAGCAGCTTTTTTTTCAAAATGCGAGTTTCATAAGGGTAAGTATGCCCCGAAAATCCTACTAAGCGCCTAAAAATTTTATTTTTGCAACAAAGGCATAGCTCTGAATGGCGCGAATCGACGGGTAGGCAAATTATCCCGGGGTGCCGATTGAAACGTAACGGCAATTTGTGACAGCTTAGCACGCTCGATGAAAATTAGTTCTGTCAGTTACAGCATTCGCGCATTCAGACTTCGGCCTTTCTTCGTCCATTAGGGATTACACCCAAAAAAGACAGAAATAATCAAAGTGAAAGTAAGGTGGGGGCGGTTCAGCAGTTTCCAATGACTTCGAGATAACGGAGTAAAAGTTCAACAAGTAATTTAGTATGTGCGAATGTTGCCACTATGAAAACACAGAATAATAATAAGCCTTTATCACATAAAAAACAAAACCCCTACGTCTTGCCTTTTACCTGTATGAGGTCGGTGGGCCCGTGACGCCCTCCAACTACGAGAGCGACGAGGGATGGAGACCGTCGACTTTAACGACAATAAGAAAGAAAGTGGCAGTAGTCCTACTAGTAGATAGCACCGTATTTGATGAAATCTTACCAGGCTTACCGACAGGACATCCTTAAAGTCGATTCAAGTGCATTTTAGTGAAATCAACTTCAGGGACTTATAGCTGCTACGATGAAAAACAGCACATTGGCAAAGAAAAATGAACTTTCCAAATTCTGAATATGAATCCCTCTAAAGCCAATGAGGGTCACTGTTTGCCCTTCAGATTATATTTTGGGTCAAGTATGCTACGAAACATCATTCATTAAGTGGAAAGATAATTAGCAGAATGTTTTTGTGTTGGGCATATTGTATAATGTTTAGGAAAACATTATACAATATGCCCAGGTTTCAAGAAGACCGAACATGGAAGATAATTAGCAGAATTCTGACTGAAAATTTCCAACTCGCACGTATATTTTCCTTTCATTGCAACATTTTATATGAGCTGGTGAAAATGATGAACTAAAAAACACATTGAGGATAGTCATAACGATGGGGCCGATGAATGGAGAGACATCAAAAGGGCTCTTGATTGTATAGAGATATGTTTGCAAAAGGATAACTGAATTGTTGACACACCTGTTAATAAGGGTATTCAAAGACAAGAAATGAATCAATAACAGAAAAGACAGAGGAATAGGATTAGGATAAGACCCCGTTAACGACGGAATAGACTGTCAGCGACTAAAGGAGAGTGAGGGGCAAATGCAAATGGGAAGCTGTACGTGAGAGAACGGAGTCCCTAGAATGACGTGGCATAGCACGTCGCAACTGGTCCTGAGCAAGATCTATCTTTTCGAGATTTGGGAGTGAAAGGAGTGAAAACCTTGAAAAACTGGTGGTATCCCACTTCATTCCCATACAAAACTGAGATTACTTCATAGTCATGCAGCCAGTCAAGCTTGATACGGAAACTCACTTTACTAGTAAAGTAACCGCATTTCAGTGAACACTGACCCCATTTTTGTCGTGACCTTCGCGATTTCCTGGCCTATCAAATACCCGGCAGTTCATTAAAATAGGTTACCATAGAGACTAAGAAAAAGTTCCTTCAGGTACGACAATATCGAAGAAGAGAGGGAGCAATTCAGGAGCTTACCAGTTAGAGGCAATATGGGAAAAGAGCATATCAGCTTATTAAGTTAAATGAGCTTCGAGTAAAAAAGAATGAGAGGACCGAAAAGCCTAATAGGCAAAGCGAGTGGGTAGAGTATTGTTTGCCAAAGTGCACGGCTCACCTTGGCACCTCAAACACTGCGCCGACCACGGAATATTTGCCGAGTCGCTGACCTNCCCCCGTCGAGGTCTTTACAAATGGTTGAATGTTGATTGACATTCCCCAAAAACCCTTCCAGTCAATTTAATGTTAACAATTGTGGGTGAAAAATGCCACCGTCCAAAAAGTGACTTTTTATTTATGTAAAAGATAAAGCCCAAGTAGATTACTAACATCCAAAGAGCATCAACTGCAGTTAGAATCTCACAGCGAGTTACAGACAAAATTTCGACCTCGGACGGGACTGGGACGTACAGGTGGAGTGACCGTAGGTCCTGTGGGAAGGTGATAAAATTGAGCGGATATACACTCTGCCAGTCCTATTTCATGGAGCCATGCCGGTCCTATTTCATAAAGCCAGAGCAATCATGAACCTTAATATCTTATCACAGATGGACCCTGCTCCCTGCGTTCCAACGGAGAGAGGCTTTTTGGTTCTCAACGTAACGCATGCTGCCACCCTGCAGAAGGTTTATGGCCCCTCGATAACGATGTCGCATTATGTTTACACAATTCTGAGCAGCACAGTAAACTGCATTATAGTCAAGAAAAACAACTACAGATACACAAGCCTAACTACTTTCTGAAAATAACTAAACATCTATAAATTGACTTTATTTGACCGACTCTCAGTAATTGATCGCAGCTAACATGACTAGGGATTATTCAAAAGAAGGATAATACTGTATTATGACAGGAGAATGGTACTAGTATTTTTTGAGAACATGAAAACTATGCAATATATCACAATATAATGAAACGTCAAGCAGAAAGCCAATAAAACCTGCAAAAGCCGAAGGGCAATACATGTATTGGAAAGCACACTCAACTATGATTAGTAATAAAAGCCCATATAAAACTGATCAAAATATTCGCTTTGTAAAACAACTCAGACGCCCAATTTCAATTTATTTTGCTATCGTCTGATCCAGAGCCATATCGATATTGCAGTTCTTCCAAGTACTCTTGCTCACTCAGTAAAAGTGCACGAGCCAATGCGTCTTCTTCTTCTTCCGCGGTTGTAGGGCATGGACCAAATCCTGGATAATAATGTATAGTCGTATGCGATCTATTAAGGCATAATAACGAATTTAGACACAAATATTTACAATCGGATGTATGGAGAAAAATAGCACTTAACCCATTGACGACCATGCAGTCCACATGTGGACTGCAGTTGTATTTTTTGTTTTATTCATCTATATTTCCATTTTTTTACAATTTTCCTTTTCAAAACATTACATCAGGTCTANTGAGTGCCGGTTCTATAAAAAAGATCAATAATCACTCAGTGTGGGCATTCTTTTCAAACCCATTCGAAGGAACATTCCGAAAACTTATAAATATCTCTTATAAACTTCAAAAAAATGGTCATGCTGGACCATGAGAGTGAACGAAAAGCGCGCCGGTCCCTCGCGGCGGTTTTCCCGCAAAACGCCATGGTCGTCAATGGGTTAAAATAAACATTTTTGGTTAAAAATCACTGAGAGGATCAAATCCTAGGCATGATCAATCCGTTTTGAGTTGCGCCTTTGCACCAGACTTCCATTCAGAATAGTACTGGTCTTTGCATGCGTATGTATCTTACAAGATGTGTTGCGGTGGCAAGTCGATGTACAATTCGTTCGTTTACCCTTCAAGAAGTCAACCAAGCTTAGACAAATGCTACCAACTACCCACCCCAAGGCTATGGAAGGCTTTGCTGGGCGAGCAGGTACTAATCTGAAATTCAATTTCTACGCCATGTGGTAGTGGGTTACTTCGTACTGCCACGCCTCCTTTCGGGGCGGCCGTGGCATAGTATCAAGAAGGACATCAATCAACTAAATCAACAGACTGTTCTATCGGGGTCGACAATCGGGTCCAGACTTATCTGGAGGGATAGCAACGCTGTGTTGCAACTGGTCTGCCCTCCGCAAGCCATTGTGTAGACCACATACAAATGCCACTACAATTCTGAATGGAATCGAATGCGGAGGCGCATCCCAAAACGAGAAGCCAAAAGACTATACTTAAACAATAATCAGCAACAATTAGCGAAATTCAAACTAAAAACAGGAGAATAATCACCTTCCAATGCCAGCAATTCCTCATAAAGGGTAGATTTAGTAGGCTGATTAGGCTGACGTTGATCTGTGCTTCCTTGCGTTCCTGAGACTCCTTTGCTGGTGTCAGGAGTTTTCTCTCCTGGAAGACATGACTTCAGGCGTTATTGTAAAAGAAAATGTGAATCTGATATTATTGTTTCAAGAACGTACCAGGATCACTTCCGCCAGCAGGATCGCGAGCGTCAACCAACATCCTCAAGTATTCCACATACGAGTGGCGCGCTATCTTGAAGAAATACGTATAGCCATAAATGCTATTATTAGAATTCAAAATAAGTCAGGAGGACAACAGTTTTTCTCAAGAAACACACGAAATATTACTTTGAAATTACTTTTTGATTTTTTCAAGTTTTAAGTTCGTTTTTCTGTTTTCCTTTTTACCTTTCATTTAAATAGGTTATGATATTTTATGCTATTGTACCTCTAACGCTAATCTGAACCTTACCGTTGTATGTCTCTTTTAACAATAGCCCAATAAATAAATAAATAAGTAGATCGGCACTTACCTGCTCGCTTATTTCTTTCTCCGTTCGTTCGATATCTGTCATAGCGAGCTGACTTTCAAGTATAGCTTGTTCTACACTTCTCTCCTCACTCTCTTTCACTGCATCTCTGAGATTGTTAGCTCCACAAGGGTAATAGTTTGGAAGTCCCAATCCTATCCCAACAGTGGGAGCAAATGGATCCACCACTGAAATATATTGATACAGGCAAAACAGACGACGAAAAGTCGTGGGTTTAGAGAACCGGTTAGAATTTATTGTAAAAGTCCATAAAAGGAAAAAAAGTGTCTGTAATTCTTTAAAAGTCTTCTATTTGAACGCGTCAGTGAGAGAAACTGTATGTGTGAATCGACGTCCCCTATTTGGCACTTCGAGGAAGCCACCACAGATTGCTGATAGGCTCATTTTCGCTTTCTTCCCATACTTTGAACGAAGCTCTTATATTTCCCCGGTTTCACTCGAACTTAAGCGCTCAGTTTCAGATTTCTTT